GTGCAATGTAAAATGCAGGATGGGCGATCTGTACTTAACACTTTCAGTGCCAGCACCCCATTTTCCGTGTTTTGGCTTTCCACTGATAGCACCCAGGAAAGGGATCAGGCGCCTGTTCCATTTATCAAGAGCTATATGATATACTTTACTATCTTTCATTTTTTACTGAGAGTTATAAATACTGAAAATGGCTTATCAGCCCTATCAAAAATTTTTAAATACATTTTATTTTCTAAAAAAAAGAACTTGTTTCTAAGACCAGATTCTACTTTCCAGGAATTATTTGTGGACAATACCGCCATACCAAACTTCAGAGGGTTGCATTTCGTGGTGGATACTTTAAAGTTGCGAGCCTACTCCAAACAATGATTGAACTGTCTGCAGATGCTAGAATTCAGGCTAAATATTTTATATTGTAGAGTATTTAGGGTAGAAGGATTGATGGCGCTGATGAGGATATTGGCGAGGTGAGTGAGGAAGATGAGAATGCGGATGCGCAGCCGAGCAGTTTGACCAGGCCGCCTTCAAAATCCAGCAAAATGATGCTTATTTGCCGGAAGCTCTCTGACTTGATTTGTCCCTGGGCAACTTCTGCTGTTCTGAAAACTATGTCAATGACTACTGATGATATTTGTAAGTTCTGGAGGTGTGCTTTGCTACTCACATCTCATCCATTATTAATTGCCAGTTTGAAGAGGCTTGCAAAATTCTGCCCGATAGCGATTCCATGAATTTTAACTCAGCAATTAATTTTCGAATATTTGCATAATTATAAGGAAATATGATATTTTTGCTTTACCCGATCCAAACTTTTTTTTTCGAATGTCTTCAGTTTGTAAATGGCTTCTGGAAATAATTCGAGCATAATAAACAAAAATTTAAAGGATTTAAACTGAAAATAGAATTAACAGTTTTCTTGGAAGATAAACAATTACAAAAAATCTGTATAATTAATTTTAGGAGTCCGCAGCAGAATCCCACAATGGCTTAGTGATGTTTTTTCCTCCTTGATGGGTCAAAAAGTCATTCGCTCGTAATTTGTAAGGTCTTCATAATTACTCAAATGCGCTACCTCTTTTGAGGCCATTTGAATGTTTCTGTTCTCAGAAGTGTCATTCGATTTTCGGAGATTGTCAGCCAAAGCAAACAGTTGGTAGTGTGGTACTGAAAACTTTTGCTTAGAAAAAGAAGATCTGCCACTTGCCTTCAAAAAAAGCGGATGTTTGCCTCCTGCCTATTTTTATTTTTTAAACAAAATGAAATTTCTGCGCAGCCAGAACGGTTACCATGCGCTATGATTTTAATCACATAAGCACGACACTTTAACTCATTTGGCATTTCTTTTAGTGCAAAAAAGGCGCAACCTGTTATCGCTCGCCGAAAGCAATTGTCTAAAAATGGCACAGAAATTTCCCGCCGAATTCAACCAAACCGCAAAGGATTATTTGGTACGAGTTACACCAAATGCAGCACGGTGAGATTTTCCATCACTCGTCGTTGAGAACATCGGGGAAAAAATGCGTAAAAACGCACATAGTGATGAACAATCATGTGTGTGTGTGTGTATGCCTCGGTCCAGATATTTCACCTCGGCAACCAAAAAAGCTTTGCCGCTGAAAATCTGCCAGTGGGATCAGCAGCCAAGTGCCACCCCAAGTCAGCGGACTGGCGTTCACGCGTGTCTGTGCCTCGCCCACGAGCACGTGAAAGTTTTAACTAGGAAACTGCTAACTCGGGAACCAAGAAGCTGTAAGGCTGAGATTTTAGGATTTGTTTTCAGTCCAAATACTACTTAGAGATTACAGATCCAGCTCCCAAGTATGCGTGATTCTCATGTGCAGGCACTCAAAAGTTTTTGCAGGAAAATTGCTTACTGAACAGTTAGGTCATTTTCAAAGAAAGGCCCTTAAACGGGAACTGTTCACGTCCTTTCTGCAAAATTTACGATGATTTACGGTGCTGAGCGCATAGCGTAGGTGTAAAATGACGACTATTCATGCAGTTAATAATCTAATTGCTTCATGTTTAGTACAAAAATGCGTGATCGAACCGGGAAGCTTGGTGCATTCCAGCTTAGGATTCCTAAATGATTGGGTTCAGGAAGTGAATGTAAAATCATTGGCTAAAAGCTTCTTCCTTGGTTTAGCGCAGGCCACAAGTTTGAAATTAATATTCATGGGATTTTTGTTGTAAGTTGCATGAAATGCATGTTGTCAGTACCCCATACGTGTGTGTGCTCAAATATATTTAGTCCCAGATTTTCAGTTCAAGCTTTTCCAGCTAGGACGCTGATGGAAGGGCATTCTATGCCCACGTGCGATCTCGTAAAAATTTAAATTCCGCTTCCACTTGCCTATGCCTTACATGCGGACACGTGGAAGTTTTGGCACAAGAATTATTAACTCGGGAAAAGTCCGGGAGTTATGATTTTACAGCGATGTTCTAGGCCCTCGTGTAATCCAAAAACATCAACTTTAGCTTCCATTCACGTCTAGGTCTTACGAAACTTTGGCAAGAAAGTCGCTAACTCCGGAGCCAGAAAAGCTGGGAAGCCGAATAGGTGTTGGGATCATCGTCAAAGAACCACGCAAATGAGGCACACTCCATTTCGCATTTCAAGTCCCCAGAATTGATCACAGTCCTGGCAATGAACCGAGCCCCACCGGCACTTCCTAAAAATCTGGAGATTCATAGTGTACCCTGAGTTGTAGGGAATAGAACACTATGGATCCTAGGCTCCACGCGTCAGCCGGTACAGAAATCCCGACATCATATCCCTCGGGGATTGCGAGGGGCAACTTCACACTCCGACCGAAACTAGATGATGAGAGTTAAAAAAAACCTGCTTATGCGCGCATACGGATTTTTCAATCAGCTCCGTGGACTTTGGGAACGGGGTGGTGTTGCTGCTCCAGTTATCAAAGGATTTTGCCTGAGATTCCAGACAGTTCCGTGGAAAAGCTCACACCAAAGAAGCAGACAGATATCTCTGTACTGTGAAGCACCGAAGCACTTTCA